AACCCCCTGAAAGTCTTCCCACCTCATCCACTCCACCTCTGGCTAAAATACTGATGTCAGCTGGATGGGACTTGTCAAGTTGCCACCTCTCAGCTCTGCCCCAGCAGAGAAACTCTGTTACCTTGAAAGGTATGCTCCATGAGAGATGGATGGCATCTTTGTTCCCTGTAAAAGTAATGGATGGCTGATTAGAGGGTACAAGAGAGGCTGTAAATGAGACAGATCAAACGTGTCAGGGAGACTCAAGATTAATTGTGGGACAAGCTCTTAGAGGCCCACCAGGCTAAATCAATCTCAGGGAATCCTTGGCAGTTGACCAAAGACCGCTCTGTCACCCTGAAGCCTTGGCTGGCTGGGGGATTGAAAGGAAGGGAGCACCAGGGTGAGAAGAGGGTGCTTCTCACTCTTGGAAGGTGGTCACCCAACCCTGCACCTAAGAAAGATGCAGCAAAGAAGACGAGGAGCAATCACATGGCAACAGAATGGGAAATATGGCTCAACACATTTTATTGATCGGTTGATTCTGTGATGGCCCGGGACTTGGGCTCAGTCTCGGAACCAGAAGAGACACAGTCTGCACCGGATCCTTTGCCTCAGGCATCACCTGAACCAAGGCTGGGGCCTGATCCTGAAGAGTCCCAGTCTGCACAGGTTCCCCTGCAACAAGCACCAGCTGGGCCAAGTCAGGGGCCTGAGCCTGCCCTGGCTCCAGATGTGGGGATTACCTTGTTGCCTTCAGCTGGGCCTTCACTTACAGCTGCTCCACTACTGGTTTGGTCAGGAGAGGCTGAGGCAGCCCCTGGGTCTAGTAACCCACTGACGTTTCCCGAGCTGCAGAGACTAAGGTCTGAGAGAAGGAGAGACCTGAGTACTCGCAGGAGGAGTGCTCGCCTTCGGGTGAAATAGGGAGGTGAGTCACCGGGGAATCAGGACCGGCCGTTACCCTGACAAAGATAAAAGGCTGTCAGACCCCTTCCCAGGTTGCGGGAGCAACATTGCTGTATGCCAGATCCTGCCTGAGATCCTGTACCTGTCCTTGCCTGGTTTCCTGCCTCATGTCCTGCCTTGGCCCTGTTGGACTGACTCCTAGCGGAACCTTTGGATTCTGGACCAGTCTTGGACCGCATTGCATAGGTTACCCTCAGGCCCAGCACAGTTTGGCTGATTGCCCCACTGAAATGTACTCGGAGTTGAGTGTGGATTTCATCCTCTTTATTCAGCTCATAGTAGTGAGGAAGAATCGAAGTTCCCCCAGAATGTCTGCTTTATATACATTATTTACACAATGGGCCCCACGTGATTGGCTAATTCCGGGATTCACCTGTAGGCCAATCAGGTTGCGGATTCACTTCCACCTGGAGCTGGATTGGGTGGCTCCTGTGGACCAATCAGACTGCTGCATTCTGGACCCTATTGTTCTAGGACCAATCAGACTGCTGCATTCTGAATCCTATTGTTCTAGGTCCAATCAGACTGCTGCATTCTGAATCCTATTGTTCTAGGACCAATCAGACTGCTGCATTCTGAATCCTATTGTTCTAGGACCAATCAGACTGCTGCCTTTTGGATCCTGTTCAACTCAGTACATAACACCTACCTTTTCTTCAAGGAGCTGAAGGTGGAGCACATAGTTCTTCACTTCCTCATTTAATCCCTATAACAACAACCTTGTGAGGCTGGTTAGGCTAAGAGGCAGTGACTGGCCCAAGGTCACCAGTCAGTGAACTACCTGGCCACATGGGGGGAGGATTTGAACCCTGGTCTCTCCCACGTCCTAGTCTGACACTCTAGCCCCTACACTGCCACTGGCTCTCCCTTCAGGTATTTCTGTTTACATTCGCACCAATGACCTATTTATTTGTGGAGTAGTCCACCCCTCTCCACTGCTAGCATGGAAGAGTCTTCATCTGAAACCAGTCCCAGGGGAAGGAGGTTGCCTTCCTATGGTAGTATCCCCACCCACATTATGCTTGCCTTTATATTGTGCCATGCCACCCCAGTCTCCAAGCGGTGAGAGACTCCAGAGTTCAAGTCTGAGAGGAGATGAACTTCTTTGGCAAGAAGTGGAGAGAGGTGAAGGAAGGATGCCTAGAGCCTTGCATTTTTCATCAAAGGCGGCTCGGCGATGCTCTTTCATCTCAGTGGAAAGAGACCTGGCTGGAAGACTCGCCTCCTTTCCATGCCCCCACCTCTGCCTGACTTGCATCATGTAATGCCAGGCAGCAGCTGTGGGCATCATGTGTTTGTAGGGGCTGGCTAGGGTCCTCTCCCCTCTCCCTCCCCACCTCTTTCCTTTATCCTTTCTTTGTTTTCCCTTCCTTTTGCCTCCCCCCATTTGCTCCATCATCTCCTGAATCCAGAGCTCAGCCATCACCCCTAACTCCACAGACAAGCTGGAAAGTGTGCAGAGGAGAAGAGGAAGAGTTTGGATTTGATATCCCGCCTTTCACTCCCTTTAAGGAGTCTCAAAGCGGCTAACATTCTCCTTTCCCTTCCTCCCCCACAACAAACACTCGGTGAGGTGAGTGGGGCTGAGAGACTTCAGAGAAGTGTGACTGGCCCAAGGTCACCCAGCAGCTGCATGTGGAGGAGCAGGGAATCGAACCCGGTTCCCCTGATTATGAGTCCACCGCTCTTAACCACTACACCACACTGGCTGGAGGGTGACCAACAGGATCAAGGGCCTGCAAACCAAGCCTTATGGGGAACGTTTGAGGGAGCTAGGTATGTTGAGCCTGGAAAAGAGGAGACTTCTTCAAATATCTCATCTTCAAATATCTTAAGGGCTGCCATGTGGAAGACAGAACAAGCTTGCTTCCTCCTGCCTTGGGGGAGGGGGACAACCCCAAACCACTGGATTCAAAGTACAGTGGTACCTCGGGTTACAGACACTTCAGGTTACAGACTCCGCTAATCTAGAAATAGTACCTCAGGTTAAGAACTTTGCTTCAGGATGAGAACAGAAATCGCGCAGCGGCAGCGGGAGGCCCCATTAGCTAAAAGGTACCTCAGGTACCACTGTAATGGAAAGAAGATTCCAGTTCAACGTTAGAAATAACTTTCTGAGTGTAAGAGCTGTCCAACAGTACAACGGACTCCCGTAGGAGCTTGTGGACTCATCTTCTTGGGATTTTTTAAACATATGAGGGATGGCCATTTGCCAGGGATTCCTTAGCTGTGATTCTTCCATTGTAGGACTGGATGATCGATCTCTTTGAATGATATAGTTCTGTTGTTGTTGTTTAGTCGTTTAGTCGTGTCCGACTCTTCGTGTCCCCCTGGACCAGAGCACGCCAGGCACTCCTGTCTTCCACTGCCTCCCGCAGTTTGGTCAAACTCATGCTGGTAGCTTCGAGAACACTGTCCAACCATCTCATCCTCTGTCGTCCTCTTCTTGTGCCCTCCATCTTTCCCAACATCAGGGTCTTTTCCAGGGAGTCTTCTCTTCTCATGAGGTGGCCAAAGTCTTGGAGCCTCAGCTTCAGGATCTGTCCTTCCAGTGAGCACTCGGGGCTTATTTCCTGAAGAATGGAGAGGTTTGATCGTCTTGCAGTCCATGGGACTCTCAAGAGTCTCCTCCAGCACCAGAATTCAAAAGCATCAATTCTTTGGCGATCAGCCTTCTTTATGGTCCAGATCTCACTTCCATACATCACTACTGGGAAAACCATAGCTTTAATTATACAGACCTTTGTTGGCAAGGTGATGTCTCTGCTTTTTAAGATGCTGTCTAGGTTTGTCACTGCTTTCCTCCCAAGAAGCAGGCGTCTTTTAATTTAGTTCTACAAATCTACAATTCTATGATTTTACATATAATGGGTCAAGTCAGCTGCCTGGACTCTCCTTGGGGGCCTGGCTGTGGCAGCTATCAGGATGAGCTCCATCACTTCAAATTTTTACTACTGCACCGCTGATGCCCAGAATTCCATGAGGCTGGTTTCAGGTCACGCAGATGCCCCACAGGTACCAAGAGTTGTTGACTGGTTCAGAGCCCATTTGCCAGTTCCATGAGGCTGCTGCAGAATGGGGTCACCATCGCCAGTGGCAGCAGCAGCAGCAGCAGCAGCAGCAATGCAGACAGGGAGGAGATGCATTCCCTCTGCAACAAAAGGGCCTCTTCTCATGCAAATTTCTCTTCATGCCAAAATCCCCTTGAAAATAAAGCAAGGAATGTGTTATATAAGCAGACTTATCTTGACACAAAGTGCGACTCTCTCGAGGCTTTTCCATGGAAAGTGACAGCAGCTTTTTAAGTTGCGGTGGGGCTCACCGTGAGATTGGAAACAAGAGGATGAGGAATTAGGTGTAGGAACAGCAAGTCCCTCTCCTTCCATCACCACCCCCTCTGCTCCCCACCCCAGTAGCCTTCATTGTCTAGGATGGTGTGATGGCCTGGAATTCGGACTCGGATGCTGAACCTGAGGGAGGAGTGCTCACCTCCAGGCCAGGAGAGGCGAGTCATCAGAGGATCGGGGCCGCCCGATGCCTCGGGGCAGATAAAAGCTGGCCAGCCCCAGTCCCAAGTTGTGGGAGCAACATTGTTGGTTGCTAGTTCCTGCCTGAACCCTGTCCTGCTTTCCTGCCTGAGCTCCTGACCCACCCTGGCTCCCTGCTCACTTGCCTGTTCCTGACTTCATCCGACTCCCTGTCCTGCACCCAGCTTCAGCTACTATGGACTTCCTCCATGTTGCACCTTTGACCACGGACTGGACTTGGACTTCGCCTCTCTGGTAACCCACGGGACCAGCACAGATGCTTTCAGGGGTATAATGGGAGCAGAAGCCACAGCACATGGGACTCAGTTCATGTGGGATTGTTCACTCTGCAGTCTTTAATGAAAACTTGCATCCCAGTCGGTGCCAATGGTTGTGATGACACCAGGAACACAGGCAGCTGCCTTATCCTGAACCAGACCGTTGGGTCCTTCTAGGTCAGTAATGTGTACACTGACTGGCAGCAGCTCTCCAGGATTTTGGACAGGGTTCTTTGCCAGCCCTCCCTGGAGATGCCATTGGGGACTGAACCTGGGAACCTTCTGCATGCCAAGCAGGTGCTCTACCACTGAGCTACAGCCCTTGCCCTAATATAAGAAGCTGTGCAATGGGGGGGCATGGATGACCCTGCACCCTGCAATTTCTCTCTCTGTTTATTTAGAGGTTCAGCCTGTACAGGTTATAGGGTTATAGAGTCAGACCACTGGCCATTCTAGCTTAGTGTTGTCTACACTGACTGGCAGCTGCCCTCCAGGGTTTCAGCCAGAAGTCTCTTTCAGCCCTCTCTGGAGATGCCATTGGCCAGGGGGCAAAACTAGGCTTTATTTCCCCCGGGTCAAAGACCCTGTTTGGCACTTCTCCCAAACACAAAGTCTCAATGGAGCGTCTCCACCTCCATCATTCTACCCAGACACTGAGGTCCAGCTCCGAGGGCCTTCTGGCAATTCCCTCACTGCGAGAAGCCAAGTTACAGGGAACCAGGCAGAGGGCCTCCTTGGTAGTGGCGCCCGCCCTGTGGAACGCCCTCCCACCAGATGTCAAAAAGAACAACAACTACCAGACTTTTAGAAGACATCTGAAGGCAGCCCTGTTTAGGGAAGCTTTTAATGTTTGAGGTATTATAGTATTTTAATATTTTTTTTGGAAGCCACCCAGAGTGGCTGGGGAAGCCCAGCCAGATGGGTGGGGTATAAATAATAAATTATTACTATTATTATTATTATTATTATTATTCTGGAAGCAGGGCCGTCTTAAGCATATCTGGTGCCGTGGTGCAAAGATCCCTCCAGCGCCCCACTCCCCATTTCCCAGAGTTGTCAACCTTTCCCCAAGCCTCTGCTCTCCTCCTGCAGGGGCTTGGGAGGCAAGCTGCTTGCCCTCCAGCCATATGGTTGATGGGGTGTAGCTGGCGGGTGTGCAGAAGGGAAAGGGGAGGCTGCTGGCAAAGTCACACTGCTCCTCCACTCGCTGGGGCGCCCCTGAGAGGCCGGCGCCCTGGCGCAACGCACCAGTAAACCCAGTGGGAAAGACGTCTCTGTCTGGAAAATTCACCCAGGGCAAAAACCATGGCTAGCCCTGTGGGAATGTTTAGGGATGTGGGGGAGGATATATTGTCTAAGATATCCTATCCCACCTTGCCTTTACAAGTTCAACAAAATCAGCAGAGTTAACATTCCCTCCCCTTTTTTAAACACATGCACAGCAGATAGCTTGCTCAGACTCGTTAGAGTCTCTGTAAATATTTCCTGGTACTTTCCCCGTTTAATCCCTCCTAAAATAAGATGCTACGCAGTCTTCTGTAAAGTATAAAACGTTTGCTCACAAGTAATCATCTGTTCATATAAAGGTTCCCAGAAGGCAGTCTTAAAAGGTTAGAACATTGTTTAAATGTGGTGACTATCTCCTTATGCTAGACAGCATTTTAAAAAGTAGAGACATCACCTTGCCAACAAAGGTCCATATAGTAAAAGCTATGGTTTTCCCAGTAGTGATGTATGGAAGTGAGAGCTGGACCATCAAGAAGGCTGATCGCCAAAGAATGGATGCTTTTGAATTCTGGTGCTGGAGGAGACTCTTGAGAGTCCCATGGACTGCAAGAAGATCAAACCTCTCCATTCTGAAGGAAATCAGCCCTGAGTGCTCACTGGAAGGACAGATCCTGAAGCTGAGGCTCCAATACTTTGGCCACCTCATGAGAAGAGAAGACTCCCTGGAAAAGACCCTGATGTTGGGAAAGATGGAGTGCACAAGGAGAAGGGGACGACAGAGGACAAGATGGTTGGACAGTGTCCTCGAAGCTACCAGCATGAGTTTGACCAAACTCCGGGAGGCAGTGGAAGACAGGAGTGCCTGGCGTGCTCTGGTCCAGGGGGTCACGAAGAGTCGGACACGACTAAACGACTAAACAACAACATCTCCTTATGGGAGAAAGCCCCCCTTTTCTTCTCTTGACCTGGAGCCAAGGGTGGATTTTAGTAGTGCTGTTGTTAAGATGGCATTGATAGAGACAAGAGAGACAAGATGGTCGCCAGCCTGTGGTTCTTTCTTTTTCACTTCAGGAGAGGCCATGCCCATCTCAAGTTACACATAGAAGGTTTCATCTCAGACCTGGAAAGCAGGAAGTTCCGGCTGGAGGACTGAGACAACCTTCATGTCTACTCTAGCTATGTTGTGTTTGACTGCACCTGATTCTTACGTCCCACAAGCCCCACCATAGTTATGGCTCTGCATTGGGGATTGAATGTGGGACCTCCTGCATGCCAAGGAAATGAGCTGAGCTAACATGGCCCAATCCCCAATAGGTGTATTCAGAAGAGGAAATGGATGGGGGTGTTCAGCAAATGTTATCCAACACTTTTCAGGGCCTTTCACTGTTACAGTGCTACCTCGGGTTACATACGCTTCAGGTTACAGACTCCGCTAACCCAGAAATAGTACCTTGGGTTAAGAACTTTGCTTCAGGATGAGAACAGAAATCGTGCGGTGGCAGCGGGAGGCCCCATTAGCTAAAGTGGTGCTTCAGGTTAAGAACAGTTTCAGGTTAAGAGCGGACCTCCAGAACGAATTAAGTTCTTAACCCGAGGTAACACTGTACTGTGAATGTTTTGCTTTTTCTTTGTTTTTTTTGGGTTTTATATGTATAATTTATGTTGTATTTTTGCATTGAAAAATAAAAAATAAAAAATTAAAAAAATACATAAAATCATAGAATTGGAAGGGACCTGAAGCATCATCTATTTCACCTCTAAGGAAGGAGAGCCCACCTTCTTCCACAACTAATGTCTGCTTTTTAAACTTTCTAATGATTTTTATGGAATGGCTTTATGTTTTTATTGCTGTAAACGGCTTTGATTTTTATTTTTTAAATGACACCGCGGTATACAAATACAACAAAATGAACAGTGAAGCCAGTGAGGTCGATCTTAGGTGTGTTCCACGGAGATGCAAACGACTTGAGAGCCTTTCCACCCAAACTTTCCAGCAGGTGGCAGCAACCAGTTTGAGCGCGTGGAAATTCCTCCAGCCAAACTGGTGGGGGCAGCGGAACGCTATTCGGAAGAGCAGGTGGCCACGTAGGGGCGTCTGTAACGGGTTTCTGACGAACGGGTGGGGCGCATCCTCGGCTTCCACCACTGCGCGGCTTCCGTCTTTCTCTGCAGCTTCCCACGCGCAACCTGTGAGTTCATTTCCATGCGTAAACACAGGGACGTGGGGACGCCTGCTAGGATCAGCATCGCCACTCACCGACAGATACTTTTGTGGCAGCGATGAAAACAGGCGTGAAGAATGTTAAACGGTGGATAACCTACATTACCAGACGCGTCTTGAATCTCCGTCTCGTGAGAGTCCGGGGAGGCTAAACAACGCCATGCAGGCTGTAAGGGCGCCTTGCTTCAAAGGGAACCAGCTCGCCGCGTTTTAGTTATTTAAATAGAGAAAGTAAAAAATCAGCTTGCGGGAAGGTGAGGGATGTTATTTGTTGCTCGCTGCCTGGCTCCGACAGGTGCATGCTCAGTGTGGGAATAGGAAAAGCACTAAGCCACATCTTCCCCCTGTATTTGAATGTCACACTGTAATGTGTGCAATAATAATAAAAGGGGGAGGGAAGGGGTGGCCCACCAGCTCCGTAATTATGCACACCTGGGTGCAAGATGCTTCTGGTTAAGGAGCACGAAGCTCTTAACACGCCACCCCCACCTCCCCATGCTGTCATTAAAAGCATCCATGTTCCCTTCCCATCTCTGGCAGGAGTATGATAGCATCATCCTTAGGCGACCGTGAAATTTGGGTGCTTTTCACTCAAGGACATAGGAGCCAACTCCTCAGGGCTGAGGTCCCTTCGCCCCCAATACAATATTAAAGGGGGCCAGCCACCCCAAAGTTGATGGACATTGCCATTCAAATGTGTGCGCTGCATCATGCAACTGGTTATGTGGGGCAGGGCTTATCTCTCCCCCCCCCACGCCAATATTTTGCACCCCTGCTGGAGGAGATAATATAATACAGTGGTACCTCGGGTTAAGAACTTGATTTGTTCCAGAGGTCCATTCTTAACCTGAAACTGTTCTTAACCTGAAGCACCACTTTAGCTAACGGGGCCTCCTGCTGCCACCGTGCCACCAGGGCACTATTTCTGTTCTCATCCTGAAGCAAAGTTCTCAACCCGAGGTACTATTTCTGGGTTAGCCGAGTCTGTAACCTGAAGCGTCTGTAACCCGAGATACCACTGTATTAGAATTGAAGAGTTGGAAAGGGACCTCAAAAGTCATCTATTCTAACTCCCATCAGGAGGATGGGAATCCCAGGAACGCAGGAATCACAGCTAAAGAATCTCTGACAGATGGCCATCCAACCTTTGTGGATAAAGTTTTCCTCCCTTTCCCAGAACGCTAGAACTAATGGGCATCCAATGGAGATTCAGGACACATAAAAGGAAGGCCTTCTGTATGCAGAATGGAGTTAAACCACGGAACTTGCTCACCACAGGAGGAAGTGATCGACGCCAGCATAAATGGCTTTTAAAAAGGACGAGACAAATTCATGGGTCCAGCAGGCTTTTCCTGTGATCTTCTATAAAGGTAAAGGGACCCCTGACCATTAGGTCCAGTCGTGACCGACTCTGGGGTTGCGACGCTCATCTCGCTTTATTGGCCGAGGGAGCTGGCGTACAGCTTCCGGGTCATGTGGCCAGCATGACTAAGCCGCTTCTGGTGAACCAGAGCAGCGCACAGAAATGCCGTTTACCTTCCTGCCAGAGTGGTACCTATTTATCTACTTGCACTTTGACATGCTTTCGAACTGCTAGGTTGGCAGGAGCTGGGGCAGAGCAACGGGAGCTCACCCCGTCACGGGGATTCGAACCGCCGACCTTCTGATCGGCAAGCCCTGGGCTCTGTGGTTTAGACCACAGCGCCACCCCAAAGAAATTCCTCCTCCTAAGATAACTGTGAGGCATCACCCTCCCCCATGGGGTAGTCATAACTAGTGAAGCAACACCCCCATGCTCCTTGTAAGACTTCATTAAAACTGCCTGAGAAAACAGAAAAGTATTTACTGCATGCTTAAAATGCTGCTAGGTAT